TTTTCAATAAGCAATCCTGAAAAATAATTTGGGGGTGCTTAACTTTTTTCCAGGTGTATAGTTGACCACAACCTAAGGACCGAAACAAACTAGATTCGTAAAAATAATCATAGCTGAGAAGAACAGATGAAATTCAAGGGCACGATCAAATAGGATTAGAAAACACAAGAGGTTGAATCGACTAGATTCAAGAGCACAATCATGGCTTATTATAAAAATCTAGGACCAGGAACAGATTAAATTCAAGATGACTGTGATAAATTAATAGGAAAGCAAAAAAAAAAAAAAAATCTGATTTAAGAGTACAATAATAGATTAATATAAATCCCAAAAGTTGAAAAAAAACTAGGTTCACGAATGCAATCACAGGTTGTTATAAAATCTACGATCAGATCAGATTCTGGAGTATAATCATAGATTAATATAAAACTCGGAGGTAAGAAAAGATCAGATTCCAGAGCAGAATTATGGATGAGTCAATAGCACAAGGTAACAATAACAACAACAAAAAGTTGTAAGCATGTTCCAAATAAATAATTAAAGTTCATATTATGTCTAATCTTACTAGTAAACTGGAATTTAAAAAAATACTGATTAAATACTAAACCACAGTAGTAAATTATTAAACTGAAAGATGTACAAAACAATATTATCATATAAAACATATATTTTAAAAGTGTGAACGTAAAAATTGGTATTGATATGATATTAAAAATATGCAAGCGAACAGACTTATTTACAAGCTCTCGGTGGCTCAGCGATAAACCTAAGGACTTATTATTCTAAAAATCGGGTTTCTATACCCGCGGTGGGAAAGCATAAATAACCCACTGTGTATCTTAGGGCCAAACATCAAGCAAAATGTATTTATAAAATCTGCTTTATAAAATAATTTAATCTAGTAAGTTATAACTGGCTACTAATAATGTTTTAAAACTTTTAAAGACTCAAAGTATATATATATATATATAAACGAAATAATTACAAAAATCATTTTTCTTTCACATCTATTCTTTTTCACGTTGTTTTGTTTTATACCAATTTTTGTTTATTTTTTACGTGTTGAGTTTCCTTTTTCTACTTTATGTCTCACATCCTCTACTTTTTAAACAGTACTAGTTTAAAAGATTTGTTTTTCTCCTGTTATTTTTCAAAAGTTTAAACTGAAATCAACTTGTGTACCATCATTGAAGTTCTAACCGATGGCTCAAGAATAACTTGCGCCCAACAGAGGAGTATCGTGACTTTTGACTTTAACTTCTATGTATAAGATGAACAAGTGTTGCATAAAATATTTATAACTAACAATTCATTAACGTAAATATACTTAGACAAAATATATATATATATATATATATATATTTATTTGTCTTTTATAAATCCATTGTAACACATTAAAATAGTAGATAGAATTCTCAATTAATGGTATTTTCACCATTTTATGATTTAGTTTTTCTTGTACGCCGCAAGCGGATGGAATCGGAACCAAAGAACTGGAAGTACCAATGGAGCAAGAAAGTAATGTTTTCGATCGATTCTGTTTCCCACTTAGATCTCAATAGGTCGTAGCAAGGGCGGGCTTTGAAAGTCTGTCACAAGTAAGGAGTGTTATATTCCTACTTAGACTCGGGTCTAAGCAGTTTTCACAGGTAACTAGGTCGTAGAATCTCTTTCGAGTGTACTTTAAACGTACTATCCTCCTGGACTGGAGAGAGCACGTCCTTCCTGATTAATCCCTGGATTGCAAATTGAGTAACATTGGGTTTCTATTTACAGCTAAAGCTAAGTATCTGGTACAGGTGAGTAACAACTTAAAGTGTCTCAAATGCACATTTGAAACAAGTAATTTTGAAATGTCTGTCTGAAAACATCACCCTGGTTTCATTAATGCCCAGTGTCTTGAAACTCTAAAAAAAATACGGTTTATTCCTTATCTATTTAAACATTACTAGTTAATCAGTTAACCAAGTATGAAGATTGCTTGAATGAATAATGACGCTAACAAACTAAATGATTTTACTAAATCACATGGAATTCCCAAATTTCATTAGCGAAAAGGCAGAAAACGTGTTTTCAGATTGTTTAGTTTTGGCAAAATTCTGTTTATATTAATAGTTTTTACTTACAACTTCAATTGCTTAAACATTCAAAATAAAACAACTCAATTTTAAGGTAATGCGAATTATTATATTGTTCAGCAAACAGAGTAGGAAACGAAATAAAACATTTTTAATTATCTTTAATAAGAAAATTACTTACTTTTTTCAATCCATTTATCCACCAAGTTGGCACCACAATCACTGGTTATATTGTTCGCTTATTATCTCTTAATTCGTTTCAACGTGTCTGTGTATATTAAATTAGACAAAATGTTAATATTTTACCCATGCAAGCATGCTGACATTTTGTTTTTTTAGTTGACTTCATTTAGATTTTTGCAATTGAATAATTTGAAAGCTAAATCTTACATACTAAGTTTGGAATTCGAGTATGTCAAAATCACACAGGAAGGGTTTTGTGACGATTCGACATTACTCAAAACAGCTTACTTTTTAAAGGTGAGATCGAAAAAAAACACAGTCTGCAACTTTGAAAGCTTGAAAATATTTCAGATGTAGCCATATTAACGTTCGAAGGCCGAATCAGCCATTACCAGCTGAAGATGTTAGGGTGCTGCATGACGAAACAGAAAACTGTAATTGAACAAGGGATTATCTGACGCATGTACTCACCAGTTAATTGAAACACACGAGACATTAATTTGTGTAAATGGCTCTCATACATTATGCACGTGGATGGAAAGGACAAATGTGTGAATTATTTATTGCTTATTCGGACATTCCATATTTTACCCCCTGATGATAAATTAAACATCCAGAAATTACGTATTAATTGGTTGTTTAATGTTAGAAATGACTATGTCATTGAAACTTACTCGAAATATGGACAATTTCTAGAGTTGAGCTATGTTTTAAAAACAAAATGAATACACAAAACAAGGTAAAATTATGATCTTGTCTCATTTCTTATTGTATTGACTAAATTCTATTAGTATCAATAACAGTTTATTGATTTTAGATGGTTAGATTTACCAGAGATATACACTCTTCCTAATCATAACTAATCTGATACGGATTGATATATAAACAAAACCAGTTATAATGAGATTTGATTTCATTTTCATGCTGGAAAATGTTAAATATAAGTACATGGTTCATTAAACAGTGTTAAATTCTGGTACTTAACTTGAAAAATAAAGGTCAACTCAATGATACCGCTGAACCTTTGCCACCCTGAATGGTACCTTACGAGAAAATTTGGCCACTTGCTGGACAAAATATCAACAAAAATGTTAAAACGTATTCTCTAGTATCTCTTACATATACTTGTAACGTGTTTTATTCTTGAGCAGGTCTTTTAAAGTATTTAGTGAAAATAATGCGAACTCCATTCCACGTGACAATAACGAATTAGTTTATCTTTACCTATAATGTTTCTACATGTTGCATTCACGTTGACACAAGTTGTAGGCCTAAGTTCAAGTACTTAAATTTTAACATATACTTCGTAATTAAATGTAGGCTTAATTTTAAATATAACGTTTCAATACAAACTAAGAGGCGTGCGACTAACTTAGTTATTTAGTTTTGAATATGACTAATAAACAAACACATAACTCACTTAGTAACTGAATGGCAGAATAAACGAGATAAATCTTGTTGAATAATCAATAACTTCTCATTAGATACTTCACTTTGACTAGCATTGAACGAACTAAACTCAATGCTTTACTGATTCATGTATTTATAACTAATGTACCCATCTAGATCTTAGTGGAATTTACTAGATCCCAATCTCATGCGTCCTCTATCTAACGTCTAAATTAAAACATTGAAAATATAGTTTAAAATAATATTATATTACATAAAATCTGCTGTGCGATACTGGCATATCAATTATATGTAAAGGTGACGTGTAGAATAATGTAAGTCAAGATCAACAAGTAAAAAGCAAAAGAACAAGCAAGTAAAGACCGTAAAACTTATTAAGTTCGTCGATACTTTTTAAAATTCTTTTGGACTTGTTGATGGTTCGTGTTTTTTGTAAGTATTATGCATGTATTTGCATTCAGTAATATTACAACTGTATTCTTTGCATTTCGATGTGTGGTTCTATATGCTTGATTAGTGAATTTCATAGTTGTGTGAGCGTGAATGTGAAATATATTTAGCCCTTTCTTTATGTAACTCTTGTGATTTTTTAATTCTAGCTGTTATTTACAAAAATAATTTATGATAGTTCACCCTTTCCGTTGAACACATTGCTAGCCTTTAGAAAAATGTGCTTAATTTGAGTATTTCTTGATCTGACACCACTGACTAGTCAAAGCTATGCTACGTGATTTGTATGTACGTGTCTATAAATAGTTGAATTTTAAGTATTAAACAGTGAAGCAAAAGAGAAAACTATATAGCTGTTTCAAGTAAAGTTAAACTTGAAAAAAAATAATCATTTTATCCTAAAGTAGCTTATTCTGTTTGCACTAACTTCTATCACCCACTTTCTACTTTGGGTATTTTTTATCTAACTAATTTGTATCATTGGTGATGAAACATTTTGATTACTGTACGTTAAACTTCAAATTTTATTTCAAGGATCAGAAGACTGAAATCGAAACAAGTTTAAAGCCATTTGTTAACCATCAACGAGGATAAAATATTTATATATCCCTTTAATACAAATACACACACACATACATATATATGCATGCATGTATAAAATAGTAATTGTGTTTTAATTTTAGGCCTAAGGTACAAACAAATTATTTCCACATACAGATATATCAGTACTGGGCTAAAAAACACAGCCTATAGTAAGCAAAACCAAAGATGTTTAATTAGTTTTAATTCAAGAAAATACTCATACAAGCTACAATGTAACCAAATGCTTGACATTTTAGTTTGCTTATGTTGTTTCATATCATAATTAATGTTTAAAAAATTTAAACTTCAAAATTAACATAACTGACAAAATTAATCTTCTAGAATGTATTTCTATCAAACTGTTAATTTGATGTATTTTAACATATAAAAGTATAATTGTCATATAATGTAATTAATTTACACCATTTATAACGTAGTCCTCTTTCGTTGGGCCGGGCATGGGCAGGTGGTTATGGCGCTCGACTCGCAATTTGCGGGTCGCGGTTTCGAATCCCCGTCACACCAAACATGTTCGCCCCTTCAGTCGTTGGGGCGTTATAATGTGACGGTTAATACCACTATTCATTGAAAAAAGAGTAGCCCAAGGGTTCCCTCTAGTCTTACGCTGCTAAATTAGGGACGGCTAGCGCAGAATACCCTCGTGTAACTTTGCGCGAAATTCATAACAAACAACAACCTTTTTTAGTTGATATTGTAATCCGAGCATACCCTAAAGATGACGTCAGTTCAAACTTTTCAAAACACTGGAAAACAAGCAGACCGTGTGAATACTTTATAATTAGTAGGAAAAAGATCTTGAGATATGGAAATTTTCTCTGTTAGAAATTTTTAATTGATAAGGTAAATTATTTTTCTCAAGTATCCAAAGATAATGTATCTCAATATCGATTTTTATTCTGATTAGCCATATACCAGTTTGAAACGGTTTTTAAATACAAAAAAAAATTAAATTATAATGTGATGTTTTTTTACGTTTCAGAAGATTAAGTAAATCAATTGCTCCTGTTTAACCATAATTGTTCAATTTAGTTATTATTAAACGAGGTTTGCATTTGATCTGTTTCCTTTTCAAATAACCGTGAAAATAGAGAACTTGATAAGTTAATTATAAGAAAGTCAATATTTAAGCAGCAAAAACAATTCATAATAGTTAATTTGAAGAAAGAAATAATGGAAATATATATTACATTTGTATTCTTGATGGATATTAAATTTAGTAAAAAATTAAACGTTAATCAAGAAAATTAAATTAGCTCTTACATGTTTTTCAGGGCATCTAATGTCTGTGAGTGTCCGAGGCGATGGACTTTAGGAATAACGTTTGTTTTTGGTCTGTTCACAACCCTTTAGAAACAGTAATTTTGAACTTTAAGTATAAACCAAGGAAATTACATAAGATGGAATCAGGTTAGAATGGTACATGCTTCTCTTTTTTTAGTTGTCCTAGTGAGTCTCTTGGTCTTAAGGTCTATTTCGAGTGAAGTTTGAATGTCACAGTGTGAAGTTTTAGTTTGTGCAGGTGAAATACGAAAGAAGAAAGTGCCATTTTCTTCTGTAAATTAAAGAACTTCATAAAACCTTGAAATCAAACGATAAATTCAAACCGACGATAACATATATTACCTGTTGCTTAACTTACATTCTAGAGGACCACGGTGACTATCAGTAAAATTATTGTATTCCTAAAAAAAAAAAAAGAAAGAAGAAAAAATTGTATAAATTTAAACATTTGAATATCAGAAAAAACTATAAGAAAACTTACAAGAGTTATAAGTTATAATGTAGCTCTAGACAAGGCATGATGTACACCAGTGACAAATATTAAATAATGACTTTCTGTGTGTGACAATATGTTTTTTTATGTGGAACGCTTATTACAGTGGGACATTATTACTGGAATTAATGTTTTTTCTCATACAGTTAAAAATGTTAAAGAAAATTTACATACAAAATCCTGTAACTCATTTTTATGTAAGAACTATTCCGATTTGCAAACGAATGTAGCACACAAGATCCAGCTCCATTAAAATTACTCGTTAAGGTTTTCTAGCATTCGACAAAAAAACAACAACAAA